GCATGTGAGTGTGTGTCTGTGTTTGTGTCTGTGTGTGAGTGTGTGTGTCTGTGTGTGTGTGTGTGTGTGTGAATGTGAGTGTGAGTGTGTGAGCGCGTGTGCGTGTGTGTCTGTGTGAGTGTGTGTGTGTGAGCATGTGTGCATGTGAGTGTGTGTCTGTGTTTGTGTCTGTGTGTGAGTGTGTGTGTCTGTGTGTGTGTGTGTGTGTGTGAATGTGAGTGTGAGTGTGTGAGCGCGTGTGCGTGTGTGTCTGTGTGAGTGTGTGTGTGTGAGCATGTGTGCATGTGAGTGTGTGTCTGTGTTTGTGTCTGTGTGTGAGTGTGTGTGTCTGTGTGTGTGTGTGTGTGTGTGAATGTGAGTGTGAGTGTGTGAGCGCGTGTGCGTGTGTGTCTGTGTGAGTGTGTGTGTGTGAGCATGTGTGCATGTGAGTGTGTGTCTGTGTTTGTGTCTGTGTGTGAGTGTGTGTGTCTGTGTGTGTGTGTGTGTGTGTGAATGTGAGTGTGAGTGTGTGAGCGCGTGTGCGTGTGTGTCTGTGTGAGTGTGTGTGTGTGAGCATGTGTGCATGTGAGTGTGTGTCTGTGTTTGTGTCTGTGTGTGAGTGTGTGTGTCTGTGTGTGTGTGTGTGTGTGTGAATGTGAGTGTGAGTGTGTGAGCGCGTGTGCGTGTGTGTCTGTGTGAGTGTGTGTGTGTGAGCATGTGTGCATGTGAGTGTGTGTCTGTGTTTGTGTCTGTGTGTGAGTGTGTGTGTCTGTGTGTGTGTGTGTGTGTGTGAATGTGAGTGTGAGTGTGTGAGCGCGTGTGCGTGTGTGTCTGTGTGAGTGTGTGTGTGTGAGCATGTGTGCATGTGAGTGTGTGTCTGTGTTTGTGTCTGTGTGTGAGTGTGTGTGTCTGTGTGTGTGTGTGTGTGTGTGAATGTGAGTGTGAGTGTGTGAGCGCGTGTGCGTGTGTGTCTGTGTGAGTGTGTGTGTGTGAGCATGTGTGCATGTGAGTGTGTGTCTGTGTTTGTGTCTGTGTGTGAGTGTGTGTGTCTGTGTGTGTGTGTGTGTGTGTGAATGTGAGTGTGAGTGTGTGAGCGCGTGTGCGTGTGTGTCTGTGTGAGTGTGTGTGTGTGAGCATGTGTGCATGTGAGTGTGTGTCTGTGTTTGTGTCTGTGTGTGAGTGTGTGTGTCTGTGTGTGTGTGTGTGTGTGTGAATGTGAGTGTGAGTGTGTGAGCGCGTGTGCGTGTGTGTCTGTGTGAGTGTGTGTGTGTGAGCATGTGTGCATGTGAGTGTGTGTCTGTGTTTGTGTCTGTGTGTGAGTGTGTGTGTCTGTGTGTGTGTGTGTGTGTGTGAATGTGAGTGTGAGTGTGTGAGCGCGTGTGCGTGTGTGTCTGTGTGAGTGTGTGTGTGTGAGCATGTGTGCATGTGAGTGTGTGTCTGTGTTTGTGTCTGTGTGTGAGTGTGTGTGTCTGTGTGAGTGTGAGTGTGAGTGTGCGTGTGCGTGTGCGTGTGCGTGCGTGAGAGTGTGTGTGTGTGTGTGAGTGTGTACCTGAACGCTCGTGAGTGTGTGTGTGTGTGTGTGTGAG